CTGGAGCGTTTGGTGTTTGGATCTCGCATTACCGCGTGAGCATTCCCCACTACTCAGAATGGCTCCTCAGGCTCTCATCAGTTGTGTCAAATCTCGACCCTTTGATAAAGTTTCAGCAGTTGCTCCAGCTCTTTAGGAAACTCCTACTTAGACACGATGGCAGTGGGAAGATTGCAACGATACTTCCCCAGTGACATCCACAGGCAGAAAGGGGTAAACTAACGAACATATCTCAGTAATCTTGATTGTAGGAATTTATATCACAGATACACTGTGTATAAGATTATCCTTTACAGGGCTGGCCCTGTGGCCTAATAGGTTAAGGGAACTGGATCTCACACGTTCAACCACATGTTGAGTTCAGCTCTGGAGGCTTGAAAAACACATGGGTTACATGACCAAAGACCCAACAAGATGGAGAAATGGAAAAAGGATTGTGGTATGACCATGTCCTGCTAGAGAGTTCTCTCTTTCTCTCCCCACCCCCTGGCAATCAAAAAAAAAAATAAAAGGATTGAGACCAGCAGATGGTGTAAGATTATGTTGCTGGACTCCCATGTAGTTGACCATGGTTCAAGTGCCAGACCTGGCAGCTTAAAGCTCATGCAAGGTGCATGTGTGCGTGCCCAAAATCCCAAGAGGAGACTGGAGGAGAAGGGACTGTGGCATGGCCATCTCCCCTGGGGTGTGATTTCTCGCTTTCTGTCTCCTTGTCACTGTCTCTCTGGTGAGTGCACACATTCTATAGCAAAAACCTCTAGTTGAGGGTCAGCTGGTGGTGTGTGGTTATAGTGTTAGACTCTGTCATGGCTAACCCCAGTTTGAGTCCTGGACCTGGCGACTTGAAACTCACACAGGGCACTTGTGCGTGCATGCCAAAAATCCCAAGGGAAGAATGGAGGAGAAGGAATTGTAGTGTGGCCATCCCCCTAGGAGGGTTGATTTCTCATCTTCTCTCTCTGTCACTCTGTGTCTCTGGAGAGCACATGTGCCCTATAGCAAGACTCTCTCTCTCTCTAAGAAAAAAAAAAAAAGGCATTGTAGCACTATTTATAGTGAAACAAAGAAGACTGGAAACAATTTATATGCCCAAGAGAGGACAATATGAATAAATGACAGTATTCAGCTGTAAAAATAATGAGGAGTCTATATATCCATAGAATGACTAAAATAAAAAGATTGACAACATTAAATGTAAGTGATGATGTGGAGGAACTAGAATGCTCATGTATCATAGCTAAGACATAAAATGGTACAACCGCTTTGGAAAATAGTTCGAGTTTCTTCTAAAAATTAAATATGCGCTTACCATATGACATTGAAATTCTACTTCTAGGTATTTATAAATGAGAAATAAAAACATATAACCACACAAAGATTTACATAGAAATTTCATAGTACCTGTGTTTATAACCACCCCAAACTGGAAAAGAGCCCTATGCTTCACTAGGGAATAGAGAAACCTTACATGGAGCACTCATCAGCAATGCAGAGGAAGAGTATTAATATACAAAACTGAACCAGTCAAGGACACACTGGTTGAGATAACTGGATCCCACATGGCTGACTGCACAGTTAAAATCCTAGCCTGAGAGTCTGAGAAACATGCCAAGTACATGTGTATGCATGCCCAACATCCCAAAAGGAGAAATGGAGATTGCAGTGTGATCTCCATAGGGGGTGCTTTCTCACATACTCTCTTTCTCTTTTCAGGGACTGCACACACTCTCTAGTAAAATTTGAAACATATATACAAAACCATGTAAATTAATCTCAAAGCATCTTTAAGAGGGAAGAGAGGTAGACACAAACTACTACATGCTGTATGATTTCATTATATGATGTTCTACAATAGGTCAAATTGATCTAGAGACAGAAAACAGATCAGTGTTTTTCTGGGGTTGCGAATGGGAGAGATTGACTGGGAGGAGGCACAAGATAATTTTTGAGGGCAATGGAAGTGTTAGGTCTTAATTGTGGTGATGGTCACGCAGGCCTGCAATTTATCCAAAGTCATCTAACTGTAAACTTCAAATAGGGTATTGTATTGTATATGAATTATACTTTAACAAACTTGACTGAAAAACCAAAGTAATGCTAACGGTAATCATCACAAGGACAATAATGAGGACCTGCTAAACGTACTGATGTATGGGGTGTATCAGATGAAAAAAAAATTAAGGTGCAGAAAAGCGTTAATAAGAGAAAAATATACTGTCTTGGGTAAGTGTGAAAATAATCTAAAAGCCTATGAAAGAAAATAATTATAGGGGCTTCCTGTTGAGGTCTGAGAGGATGAAGACAGAAGAGTTTGCCTATGTATTCTCTGAGGAATTTTAGAAACTTCCTTGAGAGGTTTTTGCTATAGGGTGTGTGCACTCACCAGAAAGACAGAGAGAGACTGGGCATGCACGCACACTGGTGTGACTTTAAGCCACCAGGTCCAGGACTCAAACCATGGTTGACTACATAGGAGTCCAGCAACATAGCCATTACACCATATGCTGGCCCCTGCCCTTGTATTCTTAAAACTCCTCTAAGCATTTTACCGTACTTCTGAATGGATTCCACAAATATAGGTTTCCTAGTTGTTGGAACACTTACTAACTAAATGACCACATTCCAAATTCTCAGAAACACAAGAGATTTGTTTAAAACTTTACATCCTTGGGACCAGCAGTTAGTATAATGGCTATGTCACTGGACTCCCATGTAGTCGACCGCGGTTCACGTCCCGGACCCGGTGGCTTAAAACTCATGCTGGGTGCATGTGTGTGCGTGCCCAAGATCCCGAGAGGAGAATGGAGGAGAAGGGATTGCAGCGTGGCCATCCCCCCTGGGGGGTGATTTCTCACTTTCTGTCTCTGTCTCTCTCTGTCTGTCTGGTGAGTGCACGCACCGTATAGCAAAAACCTCTCAAAAAAAAAAAAAATTAACATCCTTCACTATCCGCATTTATACCTAGTACGCAAACAAACTTAGCACTGCTGGGAGTAGGCCCAATTGCATTGCCAAAACCCACATGGCTGACGGTGGGTGCCCATCTTCAAGTTCTGGACACAAAGTACACAGGATGCTTGCACAGGTGTCCAAGATCCTGAGCTGGAAAGTTGGGAGAAAGAGATTGGCAGATGACCAGACCCTCTGAAGGGGTTTCTCTCTCTCTCTCTCTCTAGTGTGCTTACATCCGCCAACATGGATAAAATAAATTTTAAAAAATAATAAAGAAGCAAATTACTGAGACTGAAAAGATCGTCCACATCTGAGAGTCCACCTCTGGGAGTCTGTGGTTCTGTACTGTTCTGCTCTCTGGCCATGCCAGGGACAAAGGGCTGCTCCCCATCCCCTAATCCTGTGTCTGTCCTGCCAAATTGCTTTAGTCCAGCACTGAAGCCCTCCCATCCCCCCAAACTGCTCCTCGCTCATTCTGCAGGGGCTGGAGAGGAGTTACACCTGACTGCCCAGGTTGAATGGGCATCCTTTCCTTGGGGCGCCCAGCACTGGAAAATGAACCAGGATTTACCAGGGTGCCTCTGGCGGAGATGAGTAGTCAGGTACGGACAGAGGTCGGCGCCAGGAGACTACGCAGGCACGTGCTCCCTGGACACCCCAACTCTTGCCTCTGTCCACCACCCCACTCCCCCTGCTGTGGTCCTCAGAGAACCTTCCCCGTGATGCCCCTCCCATTCCCATCCTACATCCCTACCGTTTATCCCCAGAGTAGGGGACCTCTGTGTCCGACAAGCAGGCTAGTCGCTGGAGCGGGCCGTAGGAACTCCCTCTCCCTCCGCCCCGCCCAGATCTACCCCTTCTACAGCTGCTGCGACCGTCCTAGCTACCCCAGAACGCACCGAGTCGGTCCCGCAGGCCAGGGTCCGGTCGGAATCCGCGCACCCACGGGTTTGCAGGGCGGTGTGGGAGGGTCAGAGGCGGCGGCCCGGCTACACTGGGCGTGGGTCGGCCGCGATCCAGCTGGGGCGGAGCCGGCAGCCGGCA